ATCCTTTCCTGAATAATGCACTTAACCCTAGCATCTAGCCAGTCTCTAATGGCTTAATAAACACTTTGTTGTTTACCTGCTTGTGTACCAAACAAATTCAGAAATAAGGGTGAATCTGAAAGACACAAATGCTTCCGTGTTCGAGGTCAAAATAGAAGTAGTATCTTATCACAATCAACTAGACACATACAGGCATGCATGCACGGATGCACACATGCACACACGCACCAGGTACCCTGGGATGGGATATCTGCCTGTATGAGAACAGGAAGGAGAGATCCTACATGCAGCTTTGAGAAACAGAGGACCCAGATCCCTGGCCCAAAGCTAAATTCCAAAAGGACAAAGCGCACTAGCTGGCTGTGGTGGCATATGCTTGTGATCCCAGCTCTTATTTTCAAAAAGAAGGGTCCTAAGTCCAAGTACAGTATGAGCAATGTAGTGAGACACTATCTCCAAAATAAAGACAGATCAAACAAACAGGACAAAGAGAAAAGATGAGACAAACAGGATCAGTGGGTTCCCAAGTATTTTAGTCAGGGGGAAAAAAATCCCATATTATCCCCCAAGTAATAGGCAACAATAGGTATGTTAAATAACTAGATGGACTTAAACAGTCGGAGCAAGGAATGCTCTGCAAAACTACTCAGCTGGGACCTGTGACCCTGGTACTAGCGCAGAGGGATTTGAAAGAGTGCACCAGAGCAATGTCATGTTGAGACACTACAGCTATGAGGCGGCCTAATATGGTGCTGGTGCTGCTGGTGATGGTGCTGCTGTTGGTGGTGCTAGTGGTGCTGGTGCTGTTGGTGCTGGTGGTGATGGTGCTGCTGTTGGTGGTGATGGTGGTGCTGGTGCTGCTGGTGATGGTGCTGCTGGTGATGGTGCTACTGTTGGTGGTGATGGTGGTGCTGGTGCTGGTGGTGCTGGTGGTGCTGATGCTGGTGGTGATGGTGGTGCTGGTGGTGCTGGTGGTGGTGCTGGTGGTGCTGGTGGTACTAGTGGTGCTGGTGCTGCTGGTTCTGGTGGTGCTTGTGCTGGTGCTGGTGGTGCTGGTGGTGGTGCTGGTGGTGCTGGTGGTGGTGCTGGTGGTGCTGGTGCTGGTGCTGGTGCTGGTGGTGCCGGTGGTGCCAGTGCTGGTGCTGGTGGTGCCAGTGGCACTGGTGGTAGACTATGAGGGTATGTTTTTCGTGGCTGTGTAAATGGCAGAGTAGTGAGGCATCCATCTTCACTAAGAATTTGTCAATTATGTGCATGTAGCTACAGAAACAAACATATCTTAAGATATATTTTTCAATATTCAATAACTAAATAAACTGGAGAATCAGAATCAAAATTGTCTTTCCCACCAACATCCATGTACCATTGTGATACCGATTGTGAAGTCATGTGTGTCTGAAAAAAAACATTAAAAATGGTGAAAATAGGTGAGGATGCACAATTAAATGTACTGAGTTATTTCAATGTTGGTCATCTCTACCTTATTTATTCATTTACTTTGTGTGTGTGTGATGTGTATATGTGTGTGTGCTCATGTGTATGTGTCTACGAGTATATGAGTATGTAAACATGTGAGGAACACAGATAATTTCAACTGTCTTGGTCTATCATTTTCTACCTTTTTGGTTATTTTGTTGTTGCTGTTATTTTTTTTTTCTTGAGGCAGGGTTTCTTACTGAAGATGGAGTCCAGCAATTGGTTCAACTGGCTGGACAGTGATATGTCTATCTGTCCTTACCCAACCCTGTAATTCCAGACATGCACCAACATGCTCAACATTTTTCATGGGTCCTGGAGATATTTCTGGTCTTAGGTCCTCACATTTGCATCAATCTCAACTACCACTTTTTGTGTATCTTATTTTGGTGGATGGCCTCTCTTGATGCCCAAACAAAAATTCTGAGTCTTATCCTTTTATTCTTCCTTTCCTTCTCCATTACATATAGCCCCTTTCTAGGTGATTATTTCTAAACCCCTGTATATTCCAAATCTGTTCTCTCCTGCACATACTTTTGTCATAAACCTGGTGCAGAATATTTCTAAATTCCTTCATCAGCTTCCAAATGGGCCTCCCCTGCTGCTAGTTCCAGCACTTTATTGATGAGGAAATTGAAGAAGTGTGATGCTGTGAAAAGTACTAAACTCTCTAATAAGGGAGAACATTGAGGAGTCAACCCTCAATTTGAGCTCAAGTATATGAAATTTAAATCTAAGCTTATAACCTCCTCTGTTTTATACTCTATCCTGTAATGAATCTTTTTCTGACCTGCCAGCCAGTTCCCAAATAATGACATGGAGACTTCTTATTATGAAAGCTTGGGCTATAGCTTAGCTTTGTTCCCAAATGGCTTCTATAATTTCAATTAACCCATTTATTCTAACCTATGCCCTTTTATCTTACACTTCCTGTTTACTCTCATGTCTTCTGATATTCCTTCAAGCTCCTAGATTCCTCCTCCTCCTTCCTCTCTCTACCCAGAAGTCCCACCTATACTTCCTACCTACTTATTTGTCTTTTTGCTTTTTACTACACAAATCACAGCAATACACTTTCATGCAATGTACAAATATCCCACAACACCATCTCTCTACCAATTGATCTACCATCAGCACAAATACATCAGTTCACGCATTATCCTTTGAACTGATGGGCTCTGATGACTTAGATAGCCAATCACAGAAAGACTTTTTAAAGGAACCTTGCTGGTCATTTTAAGCTGGAAAGAGAAAGAGAAAGTGGAGGGCTTAAACTGGTGTGGATGGTTCTACAAAGCACAGTTCTGGCTTAGACTAGGCTCAAAACTCAGACTTCCTACTCCTGATCCCTAAGACAGCCCCGCTTTGAAGAATAAACTGTGAGACTTGCTAAGGGCTTTTAAACATGTTTCCCGTCATATATACGTGATAAGCCAAGACCAAAGTGACAGAGTGTACTAAGGGCTCCATTCAACCATACTAAGACGTATCCCAGGACCCTTACTTTCAGTCCAGGTTTTTGTCATTATTGTTCTTCCATTTAGCTTTTTAATATCTCATCTTCCCATTTTGTGCCTATAAGAAAATGAATAGCTAAGTCTAAATCAAAACATTGCCAACAATAGCAATGCCTTGGCCTGTTGTTCGCATACAGTTTGACAGCATGATCCAACTACACTCTTACTCCGTTCTCTCTGAGTGAGAAAAAGATTCCATGCTGGTGATAAAATGAGATGGAAGGAAACTGCACACTGCCCTGATGCTTGTTTGTGTGCATGACTAACTCAGGCTGAGTTTGTGTAGACAGAGACCTTTAAAATGGATTCTCAAACTGTAGAAGAAAATCAGAAAAAGTATAGACCAAAAATTTGAATGAGTTGTATATGGAAAAGATTATTTTATTAATTTTTTTTCTCCACAAAAGCTGAGCCTATTGAATGGTGCTTGGACTTGCTTTTCTACCCACACAGAGCTAAGTTACTATTTCCTGGAAATAACCTTTTGCTTGAAAAAAATCTCTCTTTTATGTGTCTCTCAGACAGAGAGAAGCATGTCTCTCTCTCTCTCTCTCACCTGTGGTGTGTGTGTGTGTGTGTGTGTGTGTGTGTGCATATATAGGTGGGGGCCTAACTTCAAGTGTTAGGACAGCTTCAAGTGTCATCTCCAGGGATGCCATCAGATTCCTTTACTTGGCCTGGAACTCACCAGTGAGGCTGGATTATGAGCTCTTGCTGTGGTGTGCATTTTTACCTGGGGGTTTGGAATCAAACTCAGGTATTCATGTCTAAAAGCCGAGAGGTTTCTTGGCTGATCCAAACCCCCTGACCAGGAAAAACATTTTTCTCAAAATTCACACAGGCTTAAAACAGTCCCGGACCCAGGAGGTCATGTCTCCCATCTTACCTTTTCTCATCTTAGTAGGACTATTTAGAGAATCATATCAAATTAGACTATCAGATAAGGTTTTTTAAATCATCTCAAGTCAATTATAGTTTTGTTAGGCACAGTCAAAGGCAAAAAAAAAAAATACCAATCAATATTGAACTGCCAGTGAGAGTGAAGGCCTGACGAGAGCAGGTCTTTTGTGCACTGTGAGGCATATCATATTGCAAACCATAAATCAAAGCCAAATTTGCTTAGTTCCTACAGAGTTACAGAAGGGAACACCTGGGGCAAAGATCAAAACAATGACCCATGGTAGTTTCTTTGCTTTTTACATTCTGGAGTACTTTGAAAACATAGGGCAAAGTTTTCGGTTGGGAGCAGTTTAACCCTCTTATTTTAATAGACCCCTCAAAGCCATCTCTAGCTAGAGTAATAATAGCAATGAGAAAAAGAAAATGGCCAAACGAGATACTTTCCCAGTGACTAAGTCCATGCACAGCTCCTGGGGAGGCCCTGAGTTCAGTTTCTGAGCATCCATGATGGATGGCTCACAGCAGCTTACAGCTGCATCTTAGACTATGCAGTACGCTTTCTGAATTCCACTGGCTCCAGCACTCAACTCATCTATACATCATATATACATGCCCATGCAGATACATGCATGCATACATATAATCTAAAGACATAATCATAAAAAATTCTTTGGTTTCACCACTTCCAGAAAAAAAAAATATCACAAATAATAAAAACAGCTATTGGAATGATTGAGGAGGAAGGGAAAAGAAAAAGAAACCTTGGGTTTCATTCCCATAAAATGCTATTATAAAAAGTGTACCATTATATAAGCCGACTCCCCTTTCCATCCATCATTTTCCACTTCGCCTTAGCTTGCTGGTGACCAGTCCCCTTTACCTGCTCATGAGGCATATCAAAGATGCTTTCACAAAATCGCTTTCCTGACTCTCTCCAACCAGATACTTCTTCTAACTTTATCCAAGGTTGCAGTTCTAGAGCCTTCTCAAGCTCTCATACGAACCTGTGAACCCATTCTTCCTAAAGCTTCTCTCGCTGCTGCCATTTGTCCCTGGAGCATCCTTTGCCCCTCACATAATAAACCTCTCTCTCTGCCCTTACTACAGATCCGCCCACCATCACGGAGTCCAAGAGCAATGAAGCCACCACAGGACGGCAAGCTTCCCTCAAATGTGAGGCCTCAGCAGTGCCTGCGCCTGACTTTGAGTGGTACCGGGATGACACCAGGTATGTACCACACTCTCGATGGCCCAAGTTCCAAATTATGATCTCAAAGTCTCCCAGAGCCTCGTGGCAAGACCTCAGTCCTCCACAATTTTGTGCTTTTCCCTTTTCAACTTCTCCTTTATTACATCACCCAAAAGCGGAACCCAAAAGCTCTCAGATAAACTTAAATGTGAAAAATATTGTCCAGCTGATAATTTCCACCTATATATTTTTCTTGGATGTAGTAGAAATTTAGTTTTAATGGAACTCAGCCACTGCTATGTCTTCTCGGTGGATGGACATCAGTTCTGATAAGAGAACTTGATTACAATGAGTAACCGAGGAAAGAAAACAAGCCTCTATTGACTCTCCTCTTTTTAAAACACTCCAGTGTAAAAGAAGAAACCACTAAGCCACACCCCTTATCCCTGTCCCTTTTAACTCTTCTATTTGTTCCTCTTAGGATAAACAGTGCGAATGGCCTTGAGATTAAGAGCACGGAGGGCCAGTCCTCCCTGACGGTGACCAATGTCACCGAGGAGCACTATGGCAACTACACCTGCGTGGCTGCCAACAAGCTGGGCGTCACCAATGCCAGCCTAGTCCTTTTCAGTAAGTATGTCAAAACAGAGCCTGGCTCGGTGCAAGTTACAGGGTTCCCCTGCTTTGACTTGAAACCATCCCTCATTCCTTAAAAGTAAACCTATGCAAATATAAGAACACTCCTGTTGAAACCAGAATGGAGGCTCCTGGTCTCAGCGAACAACATTTCCAAAGGGGAAGAACTCCTCTCTGTACTCCCTTGCTTTGGAAAACTGCCCAGTTTTTCATCTGTGTCTCTTGCTTTCATTTTTGCCGTGGTTGGCTAGTTACTCTTTAAGAATATTCAAAGGACATATATTTCTTTTGTGGCCTCCTCTTTAAGAAACTGGGGTAATTTAAGGGCCAGGAAATAGATGGCTGTTAGTCTATGCCAGCAGCAAGAGTCCCCGGAAAAAGAAATACTCAGTGAGAGTGAAGAAAGCCCTAGGAAAATGAGAATCTGGAAAAATCAAGTGATTTTACTGACACAGAGCCAGGGTAGAATGAATGATTAAAGCCCAATATAAACGTGAAAGAGAGGAGGTTGCAGGACAATTTCCCTATGACAGCAAGGACCTGCCTGATACATCATTGGCAGCAGAGGTAGAACCGTGGGAAAGGGCGGGTCTCTGAAAAGCAGAGAAGATCCTGAAAGATGGCTGAGAAGCAATCAGCTTTTTCAAAGGTGCGAATGTTAAGGGATCCCTGCCAAGGAGTCTTGGTCACTGGCAGTATGTTTAGTCAGGTCTCTAACTCCTCAGCCTTTTCAGTCAGGTAGCTATAATTCCAGATTCAAATGCCCCAAGGGATGCAGAGTTTTACTGAATAGGATCACAGAAAAAAGACACTGTGTGGAACATGGACTCTTTATTTATCAGAATAAGTATGACAAATGGTTAGCCTTCTGAGCTCCAAATTCACTTAGATTAAATAGAAAACACTTTGAAGCTTTATTATTACTTTAAGATAACAAAAAAAAAACACTAAAAGCTTGTTTTCCCCCTCTATATGTGCTCAATTAGAAAAAAAAATACCATAGCTAGGAAAGATGTCTTCATCTTGTTGTATTCAATTTAGGTGAGCCTTAAAGAAAAAAATCAATTTAAGTAAGAGTTCTCTTGAAAGACAGTATCAAAACTCTTTGAAAACTGCTGGAGAGCTAGCACCACTTAGGAAAACAACAGCCACGAACTAATGGAGCCTTAGCTTTCTCTTTCTCAACTAACTCCCCCCCACTTGCTTCGATCTGTGATTGTTTGATGAGCTATAGATCAAACGATACATCTGTGGGAAGCTGGATACTCATATCCTGTTTACTTGTCTCTAAAGACTAAATGTACATAGTCTTTTGCTCCAACTGGAGGCATGAATTCCCACCAGACATTCAGGAAGCTACAGATTAAGAAATGTAGTTACTTCGTTCCTCCCTAACACAAAAAAATCCAAAGGTATAGGCAAACCGCAGCTGCAATGATGAATCTGAGATTCTGAAGAATCTAGAGAAACCTGCTGAAGTAGAATATCATACAGATAAGAAAAGTTTTTTAGGGGATCAAAAACTAGAAAATATTACAACCCAATTATTTAGAAGAATGAACAATGACATATCACATTAAGGTCTATTTTTCCCATCCCACAGAGAATAAGAAAAGCTTGAGACTTGTATAGTTCAAGTAACAAATAAAGCATAGCCTTAGGCTGGGGAAGGAAAAATTGAGGAGAGAATGCTCACAGCAGAGAGACAGAGCAAGGGTTGAGTCACAGAGAGCGGAGACACTTGTAGGGCTAGTGAAAAGGGAATGCCACATCCTAGTGACCCATAAAAAGACTTAGCATGATAAAATTAAGAAATATCTAGAATCTTAGGGAATTTCAGTTTTAAACAGAGAATCAGGGAATTGGTCAAATATTTCATATCATAAAGATTGTCATGATTTGGGGACATCATCCTCAATTATAAAGTATGCAATGCTGCAAATCATTGGTGGCCATCTTCCCAGTGGTCCCATACTGCCCTCTACGCAGCATCATGCATAATGCTAGTTTTGCATTTACCAACACATGGCTGCATTTAGTGTACACAGCATAAGCCTTCACCTTGGTTTTGGATTGTTTCCCCACAGTGATCAAGTTGAGAGGTCGTGTACTTACTAGGGACCAATGAAAGGACATTAGGTTTTGAAGAGAACAGAGTTATTGACAATGTAGAAAATTAGGCAACCAGCAACTCTGATTCTTAGACCTAAAACCCAGTTAGGAACTTCAAAGGGAAAAGTTGCATGTCTTTTGCAATGAGAACAGCATGCCTTCAGGCCCACCTCAGTTGCATCAGTTAGATTCAGGAAGCATGTCATTACAACCTGCGAAGCTAGAACCTTGAAGGTGGGGCTTTACTGTGGCCCAGTTTGCAAAAATCAAAAACTAAGCAAAAGAAGAAAGAGACGGGGAAAAAGAAGGCAAAGAAAGAAGGATCAGATGGATGAATAAAGGAGAAGGAAAGAAAGAAAAGAAACAAGGAGCATGTGTATGTAGATTTGCCCATTCTTCAGACTGTAAGATTACCCATTCTTCAGTTCAAAGCGGGTGAGATTAAAGGGGAAGGGACAGAAAGGCCCCTGTAAGACGATGGCTGTTCCTTCTCCACCCAGCAGTGTCAGGAGGAGTATGGGTAGCCAGAGGCTCTGACAGAAACATTGTGTGGGCAGCAGGGTGCTCTGCTGACCAAGCTATGCCAGGGCAGATACAGCAGCTGGTGAGCTGCTGGAGCCAGAGACAGCAGCAGGTAGAGACCTCGAGCCAGAGTCCCTGAGTTCATGATTATTCCTCCTCGCTGGTGGGTCAGCACATTTCCTGCCCCGTCCACTGCAGTGACATGCTGACTTCTGCAGTGTCAATTTGCCATCCCTTGTCCTCAGCAACATATATATGAATGCTGCTCCACTCCCTATTCACATCTCCAGAGGGGTCAAAATAACTGAATGGCAGTGCAAGAAGACGTTGTGTTTAAAATATTTCTCCCTGAGCCTGTGGAAGCATTTCTCTTTCATTTGTTCTTGGTCTGCACACATGCCAGTATTCTGCCAGAGACTACTTTAGTGTGTATATATTTAGTGTGAATAATTCCTTTTAGGTATTTTTCTTCATGCCTGAACTAAGTGGTACATTTCACATCTTTATAAATGCGTGAATATAGTGGCACAATGTGCATGAACTGGGATTCAGCTCCTTAGTCTAACAGGAGAGAGCAGTGTTTATGTCATAAATGAAGACAAATTTCTTCGGATACCACGAGAAGTTTTGTAGTCCACATAGGGACCAGCTCAGTGTTCTTGCTCTGGTAACTGAGTTTTACCCCCAGGATGATGGCTGTCCCTTGTCTCGGTGCTTCCCTTAAGTTTCCATTAGCAGAATGGATAAGGAGGAAAAAATAAGGGCAATGGTTTGAGTGTGATTAATTCTTCCTGAGGGAGGCGTACGTCGAGTGCTTGCTTCACATGCTTCTCACTTAAGGACAGTCTCATTAAGTTCCCATGGTTCCCTACGGCACAGCAATTATGAAATCAGTGAAACAAAGTTATATACAAGCTGAGTTTGAGATTTCAATGTGAGCCTAATGTTTCCAGAGGCCAGTTTCTAAATCGACATGTTCTTTATTTATATAGACAAAAATGTCAGGATCTACAGCTTGTGATGTGGAGGTGAAGAAACACCTAATCTCTTCCTCTTCACACTGCAAAGCGCTTCTCCTGACACTGTTCTGTTCTTTCATGGTAGAAAAAATATCCTTCTTTCCTCTCTCACTCCCACGACCCCTAAACGCCTTCGGTCTGGGTCCACTCTTTCCTAGACTAGAAATATCTGAAATATTGAGATTCTCAACTAACATTCCAGGTGAGTGGCTTGTTTTCATGTTAAAGGGAAGTTCTATTGGATTACTAAGGTATCAAGATTATTGATTGAACATAAATGGCTAAAAATATAAAGACATCTACACTGGCCTATTATGCACCAATATTCAGGGGTGTTTCGTTCATTTAACTTTTCACTAGATTTTAAAAGCTACCCAAGTCGTCCATGGCTACAGCGAATCTTCACAGTGACAGCCTTCCCTTGTATTACAGAAAACATTCTAAGCTGTTATTTTGGGAGTTTGGTGTTGAAGGCACATCACTTTTTGATGGTAGTTAAGACATAGGATGCTCCTTCACTAGAGTCATACAGATACCTCATAATAAAACACCCTATTGTTGAGCTGTAACTCCAACAGTATAAAACAATAGACAGTGACTCGTTCAATGACTCTCTGTCTCCACAAAAGGAAGCGAATGCACATCTGGATGGCTTTTTATGCTTTATTTTTTTTTAAAAAAAAATAGGCATCGAAAGAGCTGAGTTCCAGGAAGACTTGTGTGATATTCATAATAAAACATAATCTGAGTTAACAAATTGTTTTGATATAAACACAATTGCTTGCCATTCCAGCTTTTATCTTCCTGGTGCTTCCTTGTGAAACAGTACTCATATAGTTTTTTCTTGAGATATACAGAAGAGTCAACCAATAGAAAAGCAAAGCCCAGAGTTAAGGACCATGCATAAAGCCCCAGCCTGTTCTTCTAGGGTCTACAGTACAATCTGTCACTAAACTCTTCCTCTCAGCTGCTGAACTGTTTTGACCTTGAGCATCCAAATCCAAGGTAGAAACTAAGCCCCAAGATGCCTGCGCTTTCCTGTTTTTGAAAACCAATAGTGTAAAATTTTCTTTCTTTATTTTTGTCTTGTTTTGCTTTGCTTCTATTCGGTGTCTGCATCGCTTTGCAGTTCACTCTTAGGAGAGTCCTTAAATCCGATTGTAAACTTTAAAACATTAGTAGGAACAAGAGTGGGAAGAGTGAGGATAAAAAAAAATCAGGAATGAGAAAGCATCTAAGAGCAGATAAGCCAAAAGGATAGAATGAAGAAACAAGACTAACTAATGAGGCGTGATAAGCCTAAAATGGTGAGAAGGGGTGGGGCTAAGATGGCAATCACAAGCTGAGAAGCAATTGTAAGAGGCAACGGAGGGAAGTAGCAAGGTTTAGGAATAGAAACCCTCTTGTGAAAATCAGGGCAGAGTGCATTGGTCCAGCTGTGAACAGTGTGATGGGAAAATATTAAGCTAAATCACTTAAACACTCTGAATAATAATAGCAATAATAAAATAAAATAAAATGCAGTAGAGAGGCTATATATGGGACAGTGGTCTCCAACTGCTGCATAAATGCTGAAAGCAGCTCAGCCATTTATTTTCAAAGCTGGAAACTAAATAGCAAATACGCAGTGAAGGTTTAAATCATTTTTTTCTACTTGGCACTTGTATAACTAAGGCCCAACTGTTCTCTGAATATTATTGACCTGTTATATCTTAATACACTGAGGAGGCTTTCATATTTAACGAGCAACTTTCAGCTAATCTAGAGGGTACACTGTGTAAGACACCTGGGACTTTTCTCAATGGCCAGATTTATGAGAGACCTGAAGACCAGGAAACACCAACTTCTCCTTACTGATCTTACAGTTCGAGGTGGAAGGCAGAACAAACTTGAAAGTGCTTATTTCTCAATGGTTTGGTATGGACTGATTTTCATTTGACTTTTATCCTTATTTAAATGAACTTCTAGAAAGAATGGTGTGAGAAAGAACACTAATTGAGTTCTGCTATACAGTTAGGAGTTGAGGAGGAGTGAACCCTGACACATTATTCTACCTTGTTGAAAGAGCCTCGGGGAGAATTTAGAGTCAAACCAAGAATATTAATGAGAAGTGTGGAAGGTGCTCTAGAACCTAAATTCCACCAGTATCTTTAACTGACAGGAAGACCAGGTACGGGACCACACAAGTGAGAAACTTACATACCGAGCCCCCAGTGCTCAAAGGAGAATACTTGCTATTATTTAACTGGATGTATCATCAAAGTTTGACTGGTGAATCAAATTTCAGAGGAGACTGGGTTATAGCGAGGAGTAGGATTAAGAGACGGACTAAAGATAAAACATTATCATTTCAAGAAACGTTTTACTGGGGAGTCTTCTTCCTCTGGCATGGATGTATGTAAATAAAACCCAGGAGAGAAAAGGTGAGCTAGTGCTTCCCAAAATAAGTTTGCTAGGTGCTTGGATAAATAAAGCTGATAAAAGTTATGGGATAAGGGAGAGGAGACAGATGGTAGCTGCCATAGTTCCACCTATCAGGAGCCAGAGACAAGAACAGGACCAAGAAAGATTTTATAACTTATATAATCTGTTTGGCTCCCTTTTCCTGAAAAGATAACATCTCAGTGTTGGATTTTCTAGCAGAGGAAAGGACCCTATATAGACAGTTACTACCTCTATGCTGGCTCCTTATTCTTGCTTTAAAAAAAAGGGGGGGAGTTATGTTTATGATTTCATTGATATTTGTCTTTGATATCTAGCAGGAAGAACAAATAGATACCACATGGGAGATAAAATTCTATAGGCATGGAAATTCCTGTTCTGTAATTGTTTGAGCAATCAGCCTTGAGAACTGTGTGTATTTAAACACTCCATGATGTTTACCATTCTTCCCCTTTAGAGCGTGTTTTACCCACAGTCCCCCACCCCATTCAAGGTCAGTATGATTTTTATCACTGTAGTTCTGTTCCTGGGTCATTCTCCAACATGTAATATGCAAAAAAAAGGCAAAAGAGGAAGCCACATACTCAAAATCCACATTTATTAGAAGTTATCATTTCCCCTTAAATGCTGCAAAACAAGACAATCTGTGGAGAGTAACAGATGTGTCCCTGACTTAACTTCAAGTCAGACAGAGAGGGAATAATGCATTTCGATCTGTATGTATTACAGGTCTCTAAGAGCTTCCATACTGGGAACATAGCTGCCTGTGTGCTGGCTGTAACTCTTTGACCTACAAAAAGAATGCCCATTAAAGATCCTACTGGCCACCCCAAAACACAAATGTTTAAAGACTCTGAACCTACAGTTATTGGAGTTGCTTGTAAAATGTATTTTCCCAAAGACTAAACACAACACAATTACATGAACACTGCTTTTCCTAAACTCTTGAACACCTTGCATGTTTTACCATTTAAACACACATGCTTTAGAAAACACGAATAACAATTTATAAAATAACCACTCTGTATTCTTCTCACAAAACTTTCTACATATTCAAATTCAATTTTTGCCTCCTACATCACATTTAGATGCAAAGTCACAGCCACAACTTTCTAGCTTAAGGGTATTTAAAGGCAAATTGGCAAATAAAATTAAAATAATACAAAAGAATTGAAGTGAAACCAACCTACCATTGAAATTAAATCCCAGAAAAGTGATTCTCAAATAACACTCAAAGTCGTGAGAGAAAAAAAAAAAAAAAGGAAACTAGGCCATGCAGGACCTAGTGTGGAAAAAAATAAATCCAATTAAATAAGATTATCATCCACACTCTAAGGAAAATGTGCTCAGAATTACAGGAAGAAAGCTGCTGTTTCATAAATTTGAAGATGGATCGTGTTTCATTAACTTGTCCAAACTGAAATTCAGAGCAGGCGATCTTCAGATTGTCAATAATGGAATGTTGTGCATATGTATGCCTTCACACATATGCAAGCTTGCTTTAACTGTATTTACAAGGAGTAGTAGAAGGTTTCTAGAGTGGACAAGACAGCTTAATAAATTTCAAGAGCAGTCTAGACTATTTTAGAATACAACTTAAAACTCTGTTGAATAGGAAAACTTCCCTTACGCATTAATGAAAGCTGTTCCTTACCCTGGCCACTAAAAATAAAACTGTTAAGAGTGTGCCTGCTTTTCAGACTTGACAGGAAGTGTAGCATTTGTAGAAAATATTCCGTCTTGAATTCCTGACATGCCACACTTATTTTAAGACATTAAGCTTCTAGTGTTGCCACAGAGTTTGACACCATTTTATCTTGTTGGCATCTTGCAAACACATCTTGATAAGGAACCACACACACACGTACACACACACACACACACACACTTGCCTCCGTGGATCACATTTGTGAAGAGGTCATGCCCTGTCCAAGATGAGCTCTGCATAGTATCAGGATGACTCCGAATGTCTCTGTGACAGCGGCTCTGCAGGCACAAACTCAAATATCTATCTGATCATGCGCTGTGGCTGAACAAAGGGACGCCAGACACTGTTCACAGCGGACAGGTGCCAGACATTGAAGAGCAGTCTCATCGAGGGACTGATTGTGTTGAATGCTGTGGAACTTTGCTTCCCAAATACTGAATTCTTGATTGGAGAATGACCCTCGCTTGATTTTGCGTTGTATGTAGACTGTAGTTAGTTTTCTTAGATAGTTTTTAGAAAATGTAGTTCATCTTCTACTAATACGTTTGGCTTCTGCTAGTAGGGATTGAAAAGCTGTTCATGGAGACATGAGAGAGCTGGTGGGAGAGTTCCCTGGCGAATGTCCGGTTCTCTTAAATGCCCTGTCCTTTGCAAGGGCACCACCTTCCTAGGGACCCAATCACTTAGTCCTTCTCTTTCCAATCAAGAAGGCCTTCCATGTGAAATGCACCTTCCTGTGTAAAGAAAAGACAATGACAGAATGCCTAAGCCTTTAGAGTGACAATCAGTCTTCAAACACCTATAACAGCATACCTTACTGTGGCCACCACTATTGTGTATGATTCCACTATTTCATTAACTATTACACATTGTCATCGTCTATTTGGGATCTTGGCTTCCATCCCCAAAGTGTTAACCATGTCTTGTGTTTGTTGTTTGAAGCAAATGTCCTGAAGGATGTTAGACCAATTGATTTCCTCAAGGTGACTTGAAAGTCACAAAAAAGGCTGCTCACTGTCTGCCCTCTTCAGTAGAAAGGAGGACTTCACCCCCTAACCATAATGCTTTTCATTACAATGCCTTCTTCTTTACTGCCTCCCATTAGAGGGTCACCCCTCTCATCCTCTCATGTCCCAACGACCAGTAGCCCTCAGGGAATGAATTGCCCTGTCTGCAGTGATACCACAATACTGGATGACACCAAAGGTAAAATATATTGCCTGTGGCCAAATAGAAATTTTCCAATGCAGTTACCTCTGGGTCAAACATGAACCAAAACAGCAAAAGCAGGGTGCTTTTCTGTTCCCTAATTAATATATCTGTACATTAATAGAATGTCAATTATTAATGATATATATGGAGAATAATGGTGTTCCTTTCTTGATTTGTTTCTGATAGTTGGATTTCCCCATTAATTTTAATTTAGATTTATTCATTCTGAAATTAGTTCTGAATTGCATATATTTGCATAAATACCTCAACTATAGCACTGCAGAAAATCCGGTGAATTATAAAATGAGGGAAGAGTCAGCTCCAAATATCTGAGATAATTTTCTCACTTTGTTTGACTCGAGCCATTTCCAGGGGTTTCTGTGAGCCTGGGCAGTGGTGGTGTCTCCCATCAGCCGACTTGGGCTTAACCTTTTATCTTATTGGAAGATGCCCTGGCATTGAGAAGGAGGATGGGTTCAGTCTGGGGCAAGGAAATGAGCATTAGAAAGTTAAAATCGAGTTTAAGACAGGAGGACAAGGACAAGCACCATTCTTTTGTCTTTACAGCTTCTAAGCAAAATTTCCCCTGAGCGTGTGTCTCTCGGGACTTTATCAGCCCACCCTTCTCCAATCATTGCCTATATATTTTTTTAAAAGAACAGGAATGAATGTGTCTTATTTGTTTGTCTCTCATCTGATTATTTATCCCAAGTGAACAGCCTTTCCAATCACTAACCCCATGTGGCAAGTAGATCTGGGAACTGTTGAGACTGTCTTCCAGGTTCAGGCATTGCGCTGGGTTTGTTCACAGCTGCTTGCCATTCAGTCCCTGTTTTTTCATTGATAAAAACATATTGCACATGGCTGGGTTTGCATGATTAATGTAGCTAGCTAAAAGTTCACTCTGAAAACAAAACAAATTCCCCAAAACTAAAGTTCAAAAAAAAATGTACAATCGAATCTGCGAACAATCGAGGTTTACATGAATTTGAAGTTACCCTGCTTTGTTTTCTCCCCAAAGGAGACTGGTGTCCTTAGGAACAAATCTGGGAGCCCAACAGCTAGGCTCCACCTCCAGTACAGAAAGAGGCGCATCTGCCCCTACTGGACGCTTCTGTGCATGGGTTCTTTAAATCGGGTTCCAAGAGAATGGAAGGGAAAATAGGAGGGGAAAAAATCTGCATATATCTCATGCTGCAGAGATGGCTGGATAACCCTCACATTTTCATTTATTTTCTGAATATATCATGCTGGAAATCAAGGAGAAGATGTCCCTATCAACTTTTAAATCTAACACATTCATCTGGTGCAGCACTGGTAATATAAAGAATAGCAATAATATCTAACGTACTTAGTGTATTTCTCATTTGCCAATTCATTCTAAGTTCTTTTGTATGGACTATCTTAACCAACCCCCATAATCATAACAAATTGATACTGATGTCTTCCCACACATTTTAATGCCCAAAGTCTGCTCAAATCCACTCTACCTCATACTAAACCCAAGCCATATATAGATTTATATAATACATTACTAACCAACATTATATATGTATTCATAATGCTCATTAGATATGCACCTATCTAACAAGTTGCAGTGATTCATCTAATTTGTTTTATACACTACAATACATACATACATGTCACTCTATTATCCATACATTTTTTTGGAAAGTCATATTTGTATGCCTGACTAACACAGAGATTTGCATGAAAGCATTTAAAAACACAGGAAAAGGGCTGTCTGGCATCACTACATCTAATTTCACACACTTACTCAGACTGATTTGCACAAACACCTCTATTAATTATGGGTAATTACTAGCATTGTTCTCTGTAATTCAGTTTTTCCAACTGTGAAATGGGAAAGAAATTGTATTTTTCATGCCCACAGGCTCAAAGTGGTAGTTTAAATACTACATGAAGAAGGACGCTAGAAAGAAAGCATTTTGAATTTCAAATAATCATATTCAGATGCACATCTTTCCTGTGGTTTTTGAGACCACTATCCTGAGAGGTATGTTCATGCCACGTGGACATGAGCATCAGATAAACATGACCTGTGTGGGGCTCCCTTGTAGTTTGATTATTGTGAATCCCAAGCGTAGTTAACGTGCCCACCCTGCTAAGAAGTTTAAGATAAAAGCTACTTCAAGGCCAAGTGAAAAACAAAAAGGTTTTGTCTTAGGTTTTACCCATACCAGAATAAAAATCTTGAAGAGGATCCTCAAAATGTTACCCTTCTCTTCTGTATGGCACACTCACTTCTCAGTGACGACCACACTACCACATCATAGTATCCCAAAGTCAACAAGACAAAGGACGTGCCGTTTGTCTGAGCCAAAGATATAAGTGGAGTGTGTCTAGGGAGTTTTAAGTTTTAAAACATGTCTATCCCTGCCTATTGGCTGAAAGAAATAAGGTTCTTATTTCTTCTGAGAAGACTCACGCAGCGTGACATAACACACTCACAGAACTACCACTGGCTGCAGTTGAAATCTGAATTCAAATTTATGCCCTAGCAATGGGGAAGCATACATGGGCAGCCCATATATGACGGCTCTGTTGAACTT